ATCATACAATTTTGTATCTTTTCTCTGTGAAATGACCTTTTTAACAGGGGTGTATGCTGAGTATTCGTTGCAGAATCGCTTTGGTTCTCTTATCTCTCTCTTTGGCTTGTCCGCCATTTTGAAAATTTGCTCAGGAGGGCATCTGGGTTAGCGGCCGCGCCAGGCTGGAACCGACAAAAACAAATGTCCATCGCAGTGGGGAAACAGTTTGATATGTTGCATGTTGAATACGCCTTTTGGTGTCACTTAATTATAATTGGTCAATATTTATAGCATTTCAGTCGCAAGACAATACTTCTTTATTAGGCGTGTTTGGTACGTGAAGCAAAAGCCCTGCTTTTCAAGCTGCTAATCATGGATATCAAAACCTTGCTTGACAATCTTCATGAAGAAGTTCCTGTCCGGTGTGCATGACCACATTTACTGAACCAAAGTAACTGCCATGTTTGCACAGCTTCTGCCTTCACTGTTTAGCAGGAATTCAAAGAAACAGCGGCCGCCATGATGTCATAACGTGTCCTGAGTGTCGTAAGGAGAATCCAGTCCCTAAAGGAAATCTTAAAGATTTACCCACCAATTTCCGCATCAACAACCTACTAGATGTGTTGGCCATAAGGGACTGTAGCTCTACTGGAGTCAAATGTGGAAACTGCGACAAAAGAAGAGTGCAAAGTTTCTACTGTTTCCAGTGCTGCGCATTCTGGTGTGACGAGTGTATCACTCTGCATAACTTACTCCTAACAAACAGAGAACACCGCGTTCTTGCACTGAAAGATTTTGAAGATCAAGACAGCGAGGGTGTATTAAAGCGGCCAGCAATTTCTTCACTACAAGGCCACCAAAAGAAAGAGCTAGAGTGCTAGTTCTTCTATGTGAAATGTGGAGTAGCCATTTGTTCTTCATGCGTTGTAACCGCTCACGATGGAAATTTTAATGTACTATTGAATGAAGCGGCTGACGCAAAGAAATTGCAAGTCATGTCTACGATTGAATCTAAGAAAGAAAAAGTGCAAATAATGAGAAAAAAATCGCTAAACTCGGCGAGAGCTGTGATATCATTAAAGGAAAAGTCGCCAAAGTAAAAAGAAGCGCAGAACAGTTTTCAAAAGGCATGATCGCTGCTATTGAAGCCAAGAAACAGGAAATCTTTAATGAAGCGGATCATGAGGCACAACAGTCCCTGGAACGTTGGCTAATACATAGGATTGAGATGGAACAGAAAGTCGAAATGATGGAAACAGCTCTCAGAAAAGCAGAAACGTTTCTAAAACGAAGCAACACCGCAGAGCTTGCAAAGATAGATATAACAATGAACACTATGATCCAGAAAGAAGCCGATGATGAGTGTAAAGAACTAGACGGTGACCGTGAAGGTCTGCGTCAATCTATCTTCGAGGAAAACGAAGCCTTAAGGGAAAAAGCAATATGTGAAGGGATCGGCCATGTCGTTACCTTTCAAGCGAACGAGACCAAAGCACATCAGTCAACTGCTGAAGGAAAAGGACTCACTGAATCGATTGTTGGAATTGAAACGAACTTTGTTTTAACAACAAAAAATGCCATAGGACAACGATGTCGCGAGAAGCGTGACCGAGTAACTGGAAATAGAAAATCAGCAGTTTCATGACTGTGTAACAGAAGTGCGAGTACAAGATAACAACGATGGAAGATACAAAGTCAGCAATTTTGCCAAAGAAACCGGAAGATGCAAGGCCGTAGTCATAGTGAACGAGGAAGAAATTCCAGGTAGTCTTTTCTTGGTTTAAGTATTACCCAGACAATTCAGACCCGTGTCCTCTTTTAGCCCATCTCCTGGAACGTTAAGCAGTCCCTGGGGAGTGGCAGTGAATGAACATAATGAAATTGCGGTGACTGAGACAGATAACCACAGGGTTCAGGTATTCATTAGTGATGGAACTTACTTAAGATCCTTTGGTCGCAAAGGCGATAAACAGGGAGAGTTCAACTGGCCTTCTGGGATAGCATTTGATCAAAACAGTAACATTATAGTGGTGGACAGTTTTAACCACCGTATTCAATTGTTCAGTGAGCAGGGTGAGTACCTGAGCCAGTTTGGTGGTAAAGGAAATCTTGATCACCAGATGTTTTTTCCTCATGGTGTATCTGTAGAGAAAGACGGAAATATAGTTGTTGCTGATTCAGGTAACAAATTTATCAAGATATTTTCTCCTAATGGCCATTATCTAAGTAAATTCGGGGGTGAGGGTTCTTTAACCTCTCCCTTTCACTGCATACAATATGAAAAATATCACACAGTGTCAGACAGAGGTGAACATTGTATCAAAGTGTTTGATAGAAACGGTAACTTTTTGTACAAATTTGGAAAGAAGGGGAAGAGGAATGGGGGGTTCAATTTTCCTGATTGTTTGTCAGTTAACAAGGTAGGACACCTGATGGTCTGTGATACAGGTAATCACCGAGTTCAGGTATTTGATCTTAGTGGAGAGCTAATAACAATATTTGGATCAAAAGGAGGGATGATAGGAGAATTTAATTTTCCTGCCTCTATTGCAGTGCTCAGCGATTGTCGAATACTTGTGTCTGACTTTAGTAACCATCGCATTCAGATATTTGAATGGACTAACATCAGGATGCCTTAATTTAATAGATTTCAATAAATTTTTATGCAACTTTTAAACATGGAACTGGTTTTGACAAGTAATGGATATTCTCGGTAAGAATCTTCTGAATGGTCAGTGGAACTACAAAACAACCAATCACATCGCAAATTTCAGAGATTGCGCATTACACTAAGTGTGCACGTGTGATCTGTCAGTCAGCCTGGTCACTAAGCTCTTTTAGGTCAATAATTGCAGAAGTCTTAAAACTTTTGTTTGATATCAAGTCTAATACGATAACAAGAAAACAAAATTCAGTTCTGCCAGATCATTAATTATATTTAGAAGTATAGCTTTAAGTAATGTTACATCTAAGATAAAGCAATTGTGCAGCCATAGTTTTTTTCTGAAATTATTTCCAACGTGACCATGCTGAGCAAGGAACGTATTCCTGAATTAAACCAGCAGAGTGAATGAACTGTTTTTTGGCATTTAATTTAGTAAAATTTTGTCATTGCATATATAACTATGCAATATAAAATTGTAAATATTCAAAATGTAAAAATATGTCAATAAAATAGTTGTTTTTAAACTTTGCAGTATAGTAGGCGGTTGATAAAAACAAAGAAGAGTGATTCGAAACTTTCTGACTGATTTACGAGCAGTTTACTAGGGGAAGGTTGTACACCCACCCGCTAGAATATTAATTCTCAATGAATAGCTTTATTTACAGGCCAGAAGTAGTGTTTCAACTCTGAGAGATCCAAGCCAACCGGAAGTTCTTTCAGCGCACCCTTGAAAGTTTGTAACGCAACACGCTAATGCTAAACCTCAAAAAGTGATTGATAGCCTACGAGGCTGGCAAGTTAATATGCACTTTAAAGCGCTAAGCAGATGAGCTGTGGGGTTTGAAACTTTGAAACCCGAGCTGTGCAGCTCGAATTGGCGGCTTCGCCATCTTTATTTTCATTGAGGGTCACGAACAACTACGAACTAGACCCGTTAACGTAACCGAATGATAGCAGATAGAGGACAGAAGGATTTACAGTGATGCTCAAATTTTTCGGAATTTGTGGTATCAATTCCCACACTCTAATACTGCGGTGATTTTAAACCTACGGAGTGCGTGGTTTGTTTTGTCATGAAAGCTCCATTGTACAGCTTTATGTAATTAGTCGTGTCGTTGTGAGTTCCTTTCTGATGAGCCTTAACGCAATACTACTGACCTTCGCCATTATTCCGAAGAAAACCCCCGCCCAGTTAGCCCAATGGATAGTGCACTAGACTGTTGTGCGGGAGGTCAAGGGTTCGAGCCCCGGCCGGACCAACACTCAAGGTCTTAAAATAATTGAGAAAAATTTGCTTCCTTTCTATAAAATCAAGAATGGTTAGATATTCTAGTCTTCTCGGATAGGGACGAATAAATGGAGGTCCCCTCTCCTGCAGGGTTGAGGGCAGGAGATGTTAATTTCCCACACACGAGATTACTGTGTGATGGATGTCCTCCCCTGGGGTGGGGTAGGATGGGCGGGTTTACTGGGCCTGCTGTAACCGGCGCAAGCTGTTGCGGTGTCCCTGC